AAATAAAGATATTTCAAGTATATTTTTTTATTAATCAGTATTATAAAAGGATATTTATGATAAATAGACTTTTAATAACCACTAATATATTTTTGCTTAGTAAACTGTTTATTAAGAACTGTTTTCTCAGTGTATTCTTGGACATACTATGGATATCCATTTGTACAGAGATGGATGTCCTATGGACACCATGGCATATGCATATGGACGACTTTGTGCTCTATGGGATAGTAAATTAATTAAGTTTTATTTTATATTTAACAATAAACAAATAATTCAAAGTATAAAAATATTGGTGTTTAACATTTCGAAATAATCCAATGACATTGCCTTTAATAATAATATGTCACTGACTACCATGATACGATTTGAATCATAAATTTGTCAAAAATTTGGGGGTTTAGTAGGGATCCCAAATTTATAATTGGCTACATTAAGTAGATACACTTTATCCTTTTTCTATGTACACTAAGTAGTTTAGTGGAGAATGTAATTATGGTTATGTTATACCCAGGGGCGTGCTGGCAGAATCAATGCAGGCCTGGACTAGATGGTAGAGCAGTCCAGGCCCAAGCCAATTTCATATAAATTGTAAAAATACATTACAATTAAATACCTCGACTGATAAAATGTCCCGATAACTCTCTTCGCAACAAAGAACTGTTTTCAGCTAGTTCAATTATTAAGTCACAATCTAAACAATTTTTCACCTTTCTCTCCACAGCAATCAGCATAAAAGCTTCCAAATTAACGTCACTTCACACTGATATTAAAGGAAAGTATTATCACAAATAAATCAAGACAAAAACTGCGAGAGGGGGCTTTTTTGGATGCTTTTGTAATTATGTTTCTGTTTCTCTATAAATCCGAGCTGATCCCCCCTTCCGATAATTTATAAATTTACTAAAATTGCATTTTATCGAAGTGGCCCCGGATCAGTTTGGATTTTTAAAGAAACGGAACAATAATTACGAAAGCATCCAAAATATCCCCACGGTTTAGGATTTCCACCTGCGACTTCTTTGTTAAGGGTTAGGATAAAAAATACGTGTTTTAGATTTTTTTACGGGAGTCAATTAAAACTTTCTTTTTTTTAATTTATTTTAGTGTTTAGTGATACCTATAACTTGAAAAAACTTTTTGTTTGGTATACCCTATTTGCATACCACAACAAGTCCAGCAGACCAACATGGTAGCGCAGGCCACCGGGCATTCGCCCGGTATCCCGGCGGCCCAGCACGCCCCTGGTTATACCTAATTATAAGAATATGTTTATAAATTTTGAAATATCAAATAAAGCTGTTAAAAAATGCAATCACTTTACCTTTGATCGAGTCGAGCCGGCTTGGCGCGAATTTTTTATTGCTGTCCGGCGTTTTTTTTTATATAAATCAAACCTATTAAAAAGGTTTAATTTGTAACTTGGTATTTCTGAGGTGTTTCTTTAAATAAAATTAGTTACTATATAGTAAATTAATTTAATCAAACTGTCATGGTTTGCAAACAAAACAATTTTAACAATTAACAACAAATAAAACATTTGTTATTTTTTAAGTGAGTTAATTGTAAAAATTGTTTTGTTTGATATTTTTGTAAAATGTATTTAGTATGGTTATCGACCGCAGGAGTCCTAAATTAGACTTCATCTTATTGTTTCTTGTCTTGTGTCCATCCATGGATATCCTATGGACGTTCTTCTGGAACATCCCAAGGACATGGGAAAGCGTAAACTCCATGGACGTATGTACTTAGTTTGGACCTTTAATGGACGTACAATGGACGTAGTGTGCTGTGTACACTACACCCACGTGGGTATAAACTCATATAAGTTTGATATGGGCACGTGGGTATAAACTCATATAAGTTTGATATGGGCCCCATAACTGATATATTGGTATTATAGTGAATTAATTAAGTTTTATTTTATATTTAACACTAAACAAATAATTCAAGTATAAAAATATTTGTGTTTAACATTTTGAAATAATCCAATGACATTGCCTTTAATAAAAATATGTCACTGACTACCATGATACGATTTGAATCATGACTGACTTTTTTTTATTAGGAATTTGTCAAAAATTTGGGGGTTTAGTTGGCAAATTCTAGGGACCCCAAATTTATAATTGGCTACATTAATTAATACACTTTATCCTTTTTCTATGTACACTAGTTTAGTAGAGAATATAATTGTGGTTATGATATAATTATAAGAATATGTTTATAAATTTTGAAATATCAAATAAAGCTGTTAAAAAATGTAATCACTTTACCTTTGATCGAGTCGAGCCGGCTTGGCGCGAATTTTTTATTGCTGTCCGGCGTTTTTTTAATATAAACCAAACCTATTAAAAAGGTTTAATTCGTAACTTGGTATTTCTGAGGTGTTTCTTTAAATAAAATTAGTTACTATATAGTAAATTAATTTAATCAAACTGTATGGTTTGCAAACAAAACAATTTTATCAATTAACAACAAATAAAACATTTGTTATTTTTGTATTTAGTATGGTTTAGTATGGTTATCGACCGCAGGAGTCCTAAATTAGACTTTATCTTATTGTTTCTTGTCTTGTGTCCATCTATGGATATCCTATATGGACGTTCTTCTGGAACATCCTAAGGACATGGGAAAGCGTAAAACCCCATGGACGTACATTCAAAGTCCATGTACTTAGTTTGGACCTTTAATGGACGTAGTGTGCTGTGTGGGATATATACAGGGTTAGCCAAAAATTGCTTCTTTTAATAAAACAAAAGCGTTAATTTATTTTTTCATTTTATCAGGCTACAAAATGGGATTCTTATTTACCCTATATAAGGAAATTTGATTTTGAATAAAATTAAATAAAATAACATTTTTTGGAGATACCTACCTAAATCTTTTTTGTGTATTATGCTTTTTACTATACATAAAAGTGATTTTTGGCTAACCCTGTATAAATCTAATGCTCAGTATGAAAACAGTATTCTATAAGTCTCGAGACGATCGATCGTTAACTATATATAATATTATTATATAACAATATTGTATTTATATATTAATTGTTTTTAAACCACCAAAGATGCCGATCAAAAAACTTCTCACAGTTTTTCGTTCAAATTTGAAAACTACTAAAAAGCCTAAATTAAACAACATTTTATTTCTACATTATAAACGTAGAAATATCTAAAAAAAACTCAGGGATAAATCTTTTTTGCGTGTTATGCCAAAACCATGAATTTACGCTTTTGCTTTTTTAAAAATATATTTTTAAAAAAGCAAAAGCATAACACGCAAAAAAGATTTATCCCTGAGTTTTTTTTAGATATTTCAGACTTAAAGAGGGATTTTTTAGTGTTCACATCATTTGATATATACAGGGTTAACCAAAAATCCTTCTTTAAGTCTGCTCAATAATATACTCCAATTTTATAAAAATGGGTGTACAAATGTGTACTCTGTCAAAGGTACTTTGAGATAAATCATGAATTTTCAAAAAATTTCGAAAAGAGGAGCAGCTATCATTTTTAAGTCACCAAAGGGTCCCGAACAAGAAACTGCAACCAGTTTTTGGCAGCATTTTTATGTGACTTAAACAGTTTAAGTCACATAAAAAGTTAAACTTCGTTCTGGCACACCGTCACAGATTATAAAGGCACACTAGAGGTCTAAAACTATCGATAGCACTATCGATAAATATCGATATATCGATATATAACTATAGTTTTAACTATCGAATAATACGAGGGGTAAACCACTTTAAAATCTTAGAGACAACCGTTCAATGTTAGTGGACGTTGTGTTGAGATTTTTTTCCTTATCAGTCGTTATCAATAAGGAAAACTTGCTTAATTGGTGCTTAATCGGTGCATAATCAGTGCTTAGCGACGCGTTGTACATGACTACCCTTGTTATTGTTATCCTTAGCCGTTAATTCGTAAGAGATTTTTAATTTTAAAAAATCAGTGGTTTACCCCTCGGAATAATATCGATAGTTTCCGATAGTTTTATAACGCTTTAACTTTTAGCCCACTATTAAAGCTTTCACGAAAATCTTAATCTTGGTAAGTTTTAATAGCAACTAAAGTTAGGGGCACACTCACATTACACTCATTCTGTCAAATAATTGCACTATGTTTTAAATTCCGATGTCTTGTTTTAAAATTTGGCGCCGAAATTGCGTTTGGTTTCGTCATGGAATACACAATCCACATGTGGATTGTGATGGAATATACATATTTGTGTATTAAGAGCGCAAAGTGATACATTGCCGCTCTGAGCGAGAAGATTGACAAAGTAACTTTGTTGCTCGCTCCTCGTAAAAGTGCAACTTTGCGCTTTCTTTTGGAAGCGCAAATTTGTACTTTTCGCTTAGTTGTAGAAAAAGTTTTTTTAACAATCTTAGATAATAAATCAATTTGGATATATGCTTTTTCTAAAGAGTTCACCAAAGTGTTTTAAAAAATTTGTAAGAAATGGAGAAATTCATAACTCGATCTGGGTCCGAGACAAAAAAGAAAAAAGGTAAGTTTGTGAGATTTTATAGGTTTATAGTTTGTAAAATTTGTAAGTTTCTCGCAGTTTGTAAAATTTGTAATGTGATTTTTGAATAAAAATAATTACTTTGCTTTTATTTTTTAATTATGTTTTTTTTATAATTTACTCTCACTATCGAAAACTATCGATAGTTATCGATAGTAAAGTGACCAAATATCGAATAATATCGATAGTGCCAACTATCGATAGTTTTAGACCTCTAAGGCACACCGCGGTGCACCGTGGGGAAAGCTGCATGATAGACCACAGAAGCTAGGTGTATACTGGGTTGCAGGTGCTAGGTGTGTGCTGGTTGCATGCACCGTCACTCTAGACACCATAGGTTATAAAAATTAAGAAAAAAATATATATTCGATTTGTAGGAAATTACCCTTTAATTTACTTCAAAGGCAAATTGTATAGGCTAAAATAAACCTTTTAAAATAATTTATACTTAAACATGTCTAAGGTAACAACTTAAAATGTCAAATGTCAAACTGACGCAAGGCAACGTAAATAATAAAAATTTTCAAAAAATGAAGCGAAAATCCGAGTTTTTGAAAGATCAACATGGATCTTTAATATGCACTAACTGCCCGTTTGAAGCAAAGAACAATACGGAATTAAAAAATCATCAAATAATACACAGTGCAAGCAAGTCGTTGAAATTGGATTGGTACAAATGCCCTTCATGCCCATACCAGACAAGAAGAAGATCAGATTTACCAAAGCATTTGCTTGTACATAACAATAATGTGATTAAGTACAAATGTTCTGAGTGCTCATATGAAACTAAGCGGAAAGCTGATATGCCAAAACACATGTTAACACATTGCGATATTGGTAAGTTACCTAATTGGAAGAAACACAATTTCAGGCCCTTGAGTATCAAAAATAATATTTTAAAAAGAAAACAAAAATATAAAAAAATAATGAGTTTATTCTAAATTTTAAAATATAGAGGGACCATAAACACAGGTGGCTTTAGCTCCCTTTCAAACTTAAGCTTAAACTTTTTGTGGTTTTAACAATCATAAACATTAAATTTTGTATACCAAAATTTGAGTCTTCAGTTGCTCTTTCATAATAACTATGTTATAATATTAATCAGAGTTGGGAGTACTGAGTATTTTTTTTAATGGATTATGCTATCATTACTAATTATTACTTGATTTTATAATTGTAATGAGAGAAAAATATTGAGTAGGTACTTTTTATTTTTACTTTACCAATTTGATAATTACAATTATTTTTTTATTTTGTAATTATAATCAGAGAAAATATCAAGTACTTTTTATTTTAACTTAAAATCGAGGGGTAAACAACCGGGCCAAATTTGTACGCCTATTACGCAAAACGCGTAATACTTCCCAAGTATTACGTAAAATTACCATGTATTACCTCGTATTACGTAATAACATTTGGTATTACTTAATATTACGTTTTATTACTTAATATTACGTTGTATTACTTGGTATTACGTTATATTACGTCCTATTACTAAGTATTACGTAAGTGCTGCCATCTATAATTTTAATTATAAATTAATTTTTGAAGGTATAAAGGTGTAGAATTGAGGTTAGGTAACTAATATACATAATATGCATATTAAATATTTTTAAAATGTTAACAGTTGTCAACACATTATAATAAATCAAAGCACAAAAAATACTCCTTGGCAGAATGGCATATGTATATGTTTTCTTCAAGGCACAATTTTATTTGTGGAGCAAACATGCAAAAAGCGATAAATCCATTTTTACATTTTAAGAGGATAGTACCGATTCTTACTTATTTTGGTAAACTCTTTTGACTTAGCACAGCATTTTAAGTAAAAACCGAAACAGAGACAACCCAACATTCCCTTTTAATAGTTTTTAAATATTTGGGGCACTCTGCTGTATACATTTTTGGCCAATATCTCGGAATAAGTTAAAATGGATTTATCGGCTTTTGCAAGTTTGCTCCATATTTATTAACCGTCTCTTTAAACGCTAGATGAAACAATTATTAAAAGTAGAAAGTGAGGTTATTATCGAAATTTATGATCGGTCGAAAGTTTCGACTTGAAACGCGGTAAATAATGATTTTTTTAGCCTACAACAATAAATTATACACCGATTAAACATAACATTTTAAAAACATTAGGTATTACGTTTTCATTGAGGTTTTTATTTAGGTACCTTTCCATTTTTAATATCTCAAGTATAAATAAAAAACATTTTTCAAAATAAACTTTATAAAATAACCCTTAATTTATATACATACACATAAAACATTATTGCACAATAATTATTAAGACAATAATAATTACCAAGTTCAGATAAAATATAAAGAGTAAAACATCTTAATGTATGGTATGGAATATATTGAGTAAAAACATACTAATAATTATTTTTAAGATGATTTTACTCTATATATTCGATCTGAACTTAGTTTTTTTGCTTTGTCTTCCTGGAATATCCAGCAAAGAGTTTTTTTCTTAATTATTCCCTGTTTTCCATTTGAATCAGTAACTTTGATTCTATTATCACTTTCGCCCAATAATTCTGTGGACTTGGAATGTTTTACGTAATTAAAATTAAATTTAAAATCTATATGACTTTTTGTTTTATTTTTGGTTTTATTAGAATTAATCGTATGCATGACTGGTTTCTCTATGTTTTAAACTAAAGTTAAAAATGTTAGGTTAGTACAATTTACGTTAAAACATTAGGTATCATGAATATACTTACTATTAAAACTATTAACAACTTTGTAATGGCAAACTTTTTAAGAATTTACTAGGTATGGTTAAATTTATTAAAAACCAGAAAAAATACGAATTTTAGGTCAAAATAAATTTACCGGTATACAGCGGTATTCAAATATAGATGACGCGCACCGTTACGCGCAAAATGTGCATATTATGTATTACGTATTACTCAAAGTATTACGTGGTATTACGTAGTATTTCGTTGTATTACTTAACTATCACGTGATATTACCTGCTATTACGTGATATTACGTGCAATTACATAATATTACTTGGTATTACAATAAAGTGTAATAGATTACATCCAATTTGTACGCCTATTACGCCCGTTGTTTACCCCTCGCTTAAAATGTTTACTGATTCTAAATATTTTTTTATTTATAATTAAAAAATAATAAAGAACACATTATATATATATATTTTTTTTATTTGATTAGAATGGTGAATAAGGATACTTCCGTGCTTGTTTATGTTTTTATTGCAACTAGTTTCGATCTATATTAGATCATCTTCAGGCAAACTACAAAAATATGTAAAATTATTATAAGGTTAGGTTAACATGATAATGATAAAATTAATAGTTTAAAGTAACAATACAATGGTTGATAACAAATATTAAATACTTCCATGTCAATAATTAAAATATTTGTAAAAAGGTTTATCAATTATATTAAATATATGCATAAAGATAGTTTTAGATTCTGATTAAAATTATTTACAATGACTTGAAGGACGATGTATTCTTGGTACTTGTATTTTCATTAATATTTTAAGTACAATCAATTTTTTTACTTTGACTTTAAACTTTTTGCATTACGAAGTACTAAAAAATATTATTTATTCAAATTAATAAGTACAATTATTTTTGTATTTTTACTTTAAATCAATTTAAAGGAGAAAATACAATGTATTGATAATTTTTATTTTCTCCATTCTCAAGTAACTTAAATATTCTAATGGCAATACTTTTTAAGTACAAATCTCGCAACTCTGATATTAATATTACATATGGCTGAGTTTCAAAAATAAAAATTAAAAACTGGGTGTGCAAAGTTACCCCCTGGTTGCAGGTAACTTTGTCTCACAGTGTATTTTCTGTATAAAATTAACTCAATACCTTTTTTTATTTTTATTAGACACGTGTTAGCAGCAACATATATCTATTGCAAGGGATTTCCAATAAAAAAAAATAAAAAATCGACCTGTAGTTAACCAAGGATCATCATTCCAAAGGATTGCGCATACTATAGAAATTGTAACGCGTGTATTTCTAAGAGTTTTGCACTGATGCGATATATACAATTTTAAAGTGTAATAAATCCCATTTCTTTCTTTAAAACACTGATTTTCCGTATTATAAACTCAATAGAATCGCTCAATTGATAGGTTTAGACCAACAAATTATAAACGTTAATTTTATCGAGCGCGAAAAGATTTTTCATAAAAGGGTTAGTCACCCGCGGGGTGCAAAGTCTCCCGTGTTTACGGTACCTATATTGCCAACAAAAATGTTATTTTCAGTTTTACCCAATCATTAGGGACCAAATCTTAATGCACTTAAAAATTGTTCTTAAAAGGGCCCAAAAATAATCAAAATGGGTAGATAAAACTTATATTTATATAACAAAAGTAAAGTATGCACAAAAGGCATTTATTAATTAAAAATTAAATTTTTAATTTAAAAGGTTTGTTTAATCCTGCCAAAATTAAATGGTTCTAGAACAGTTTTGGTATTTTCAACAAATGTACATGGCACTTGATACTGCTAATTGCAGTTACATTTGGGCCCCCCTCGAATATAATAAATAAAATAATAAAAATAATTTTAAATCGGAAAAAATAACTTAATAAATAAGTTATTTTTTTCGATCATAAATTATTATAATAATAATGACAATTTTCTATTTTTAGTTATAAAAAGTGTACTTTTTCGTATGCGGAACCAAACGAAAAAAAAAGTTTGCAGAATTTCCCTACATATAAACTAAGAATGATAAAAATGTTGTTTATTTGCTTTGTAAAGATCTGACGTGGGGTAGTATATTTGAAGGGAAAGGGGTGTGAAGTCCCTGACCCTCACATTGTGTTTGTGAAAGCTGCAAGACTAAAGTCTGTGAGTTTAGTAAACTTATGTTTCCATCTTGTATCTTCATATTGGATTGAGTGAATCTTTTTTGCACCATACATACAGTTTATGCCTTAAAACTAAAAATAGTGCAAATTCAAAGAATAATATAAAATAACTTTTTCATCAAAGCCATATTTAAAAAATAATAATAGGTACATTAATTTAATGCCATGCCTACTTTCTCAGGGTGTCCAGATAAAAAATATGGTGGTTTTTGACAATCCTAAACAAATATTTTAAGAAAATTTAAAATATTCAGCTTTAAATTTGTTTAAAATTTGGTAAAAAATTATGGAATGACTCAATATTAGTTGTTCATCTTTAATTTTAGGCGTAGAAAGATATCATTGTCCGCATTGCCCATACCAAACCAAAAGAAAAAACGATCTTCCAAAACACCTGCTGTGCCATCAAAGTCAGGAAGAAGTTGAGTACTTCCATTGCACCGAATGTGATTATAGTACAAGAAGAAAAGGAGATTTGACAAAACACGTTTTAAAACACCAGGACAACAATCCAACTAACTCCTTCTATTGCTCGGAATGCGATTATTTTACCAAAAGAAAAAACGATTTAGTTAAACACATGATCATTCATTGCGATAAATTAGTTTCCGGAGTTTTTAAATGCACAAAGTGTACTTTTAATACTGATAGGGTCAATAAATTTTCAAAACACCTTTTGGCTCATTGCTGTTATGGAGAAGACGCCAACGAGTACAATAGAAATGAAATTAATTAGTCAAAGTATTTTTACAATAGATTTCTACAAAAGTGATTATGCTGGTCAAATGTAGGTATGTAGTAAATAATTATAGATTTAGTTAATTCTATATATTATGTAATATCTTTGAAGAAATCCAATTTTATTTGTTATATGTGATTGCAATGATTGCAATGCAATCACATATAAAATAAGTGTAAAGTTTGTTTTATTAGTTTATTTACTTACTGCTCCTTATACCACAATTATTCTATCTATTAGAAGTTTTATGTCACAAAAAAACAAAAAACAAAAATACAGAAAACAAAAGTCCACCAGTAAATAAATTGAATGTTAAAACTCCAAAGGCAAAATTTTTTGTGTTAATAAAATAAGGATTTGTTACCATTTTTATAAACCATAGTAATAGGGGAATTGATTAATAAAATATTAAAAAATAACATTTGTTTAATTCCATTTACAATAAAATTAAATATAATTTGGTATAATATAAATAGGTACCTATACAATAAAGTTGAATTGTTACAATCATGTCATAATCTTAAAAACTAAGTCAAAGTACTAGACATGGGGTAAACCATGGGCCTAGGGTAATTAACTTATCTTTTAAAACATTAATTTTATGATTTGAATTTACACTTACTACATAATATAAATTACATAAAAATCTTGGTTGTTTAAAAGGTTACAAATGAAGTAATTGTAGATTTTTCATAATCTATTTTTTCTTCATGGGTCCTTTTATGTGTTTTTAATGCTGAACTTTGTCTGAATGCTTGTCCACACATGTCACAGACATACGGTTTTTCACCTTAAATATAAAAAAGTCATTAATTTAAATTTAAAAATTGTTTTAAACTACATATTTGTGTGTTTTGACCCAACTCTTTATAATAATAATAAAAAGAATCTGTATTTAGCAAGAAAGCTATCTCATACATATACAAAAAATAACATAAAAACCTACGTAGGTCGAAAAATATGGATACTGGCTCAAAAATATAAATTCCTTTTTTACCTGTGTGTATTCTCAAGTGAGATGTAAGATCATTGGACTGCGAAAAAGCTTTACCGCAAAACTTGCAAACGTACGGTTTTTCGCCGGTGTGTGTTCTTTTATGTCTCGCCAAAATTCCAGACCTCGAAAATTTCATTTTGCAAACGTCGCACTCGTATGGCTTCTCGCCCGAATGGATTCGTTTGTGTTTTGTGAGAGAACTCGAAGTTGTGAAGCCCCTGTTACATTCGGGACACACAAAAGGTCTTGCCCCTGGAAAAAAAATATGAAACTGTTAGGATTAAATTAAATTAAAAAACACCGCATTAAACAAAAACGTTTGAAGAGTTACAATAAAAGTTCAAATTGTTTTAAGGCTACACCTCGATAGAAACTTATTTCCCAATGTCCTGATACATTTAAAAAACGTATCGCAGATTTGCGTAGATATCACTTTTTTTTATAACGATTTCCCCAAAATCTTGAAATTTGAATTTAAAATTAATACCTACGTGAATACCTTGATCAATTATTATATGTTTTTTATAGGAATTGCACTTTTGCCTCTGGAAAAGTTTAGCCAATAAATGTACAAGATAGGGCTTTATATTTCTAGTACTGTGCAATTGCGATCAACGAACAAATCGTGCTCAATAAAATGCAAAAGCAGTTTGGTTAGCTTAAGTAGGTTACTGTTGGTATAATATTGGGAATGTTTGGACATAAAAAAACGATGGCATTTTTAAGTTTATTTGGGCATTTGAATTATATACAAGAATATTTCAAGAAAAATAGTACATTATTTTATAAGGAGCTAAAGTGTCACTTTTTGTGGCAAGTTTGTAGGCTTTGGCGGCGAGTCTGCGAGTCCAGCAAATACAGACGAGCCACAAAAAGTCACTTTACTCCGCATGTCAAATACATAAAATATTTAATTTTCCGTAAAAATATCAATTTTTAAATGATAAAATAGGTGACCTGTGAATGTTGCAATAAAAACATATAAAAAACTTCAATATTTTTAAATTTTGAGGTGACAAACTAAATTATAAAAACATAAATCACGCGCCCGCCATCTAAAGTTGTTCGATAGCATTGTGTGAATTTATGAATTGTACAACATGTTTAAATAAATAAGTAGTTTTTCCGTAAATTTTGTTCAATAGCACAGCTAAATAGCGCACGTTATTTGTGTTTTGCATTACAAGTAAAAACTAAAAAACTTTGGTTTATTACTCGATTTCGATTTATTATTCCTTAATTATTCCTTATATCATTGATAAAGAAACTCAACGCCTATATGCTTAATTTGTGTGTGTATTTTATCTAAGTAATCATGGTGAATTATTGTGTTTTTAATTGTACATACAATTCAAGAACTAAATCGTTGCATTTTCATGTTTTGCCAAAGGATCCAATATGTTATGTATATTTTTTGGTGCAGAATTGAGTAATGATAACTTCACCTAATATAATTTATATTTAAGTTTGGACATTTTTAAGAAATCTAACAAAAAATAATTGTTGTACAAACATAACCTTAAAATCAAATGTTTTAATATCTGAGTCCTCTTAAAAAACGCCGACAACTGCATTTTAAACGACAAAATATACCTACGAATTCATGGCAACATAATATTATACAAAACATAATAGAATACCGGTTCTTGGTATTTTGCTGTTGAATCAACGCTTTTAATAAGGCTAAATGCTATTATATATACCTAATGAATTTATATATTATTATTATTATTATTAATTATATATAATGAATGCTATTATATATAATGAATTTAGACTACTGATTTGTTTTGATTTTTACGAAATATTTACTGTATGCAATTTATTTACACAATTATAACACGCGAAATAAAAATAATCTGGTGGTGGATCATCTTAGATTAAATAAATCTAGAAATTCTACACAATACTATGCACTGAAATTCTACAATAAACTGCTTGATAATGTAACAGACTTAAACATAAAATCATATAAAATTTGTATCAAAACGTACCTCATTGGGAGAGTTTTCTATAACTTTAGTGAATATTTGCAATGCACTGATTTAATCTGATATTCATGTATATTGTATTGGATCCATTTCTCATATAACTATTTTATCTATTTTTTAACTAAACTGCGCACCACTCAATGTGTCGCGACCAAAAATTTCATCCATTTTTAAAACGACATAACTTTTTTATTTCTTGAACGATTTTATTTTGGTTTGTGATGTCTGCTAGCCCCATTCTCTGGCAATTCATGCTATAGATATGAAGCTCACGGTTCTTCAAGTAAATTTACTACAGGGTGATATGTAAAACAGTGAAAAATTTCAATAACTTCATCCAAGCCCCGTTTGTAAAATAAATATTTTTTTCTCGTTTTTACTTTGAAATAATGAAGTATTATGTCTTACCTTGAAACGTTTTTCAAATTTTTCGAATTGGAATCTTAGCAACAAAAATATGATTTTTTTTTCAATGGAGTACATTTGATGCTTTTTTGTACTTTTTTGTACTTGATGTACCTGACGTGTGTAAAAATCCTTGTATTTAAAAAACGAATAAATATTATTATTATTATTTCTTTATTCGAATTTTCTCTGTTTATTGGGAAAACGGTAAAAACCCCTCTTTAGCGTATAAGCCACCAACTGTTGATTATAGCAGTTTGGAGAATATACTAAATTAAATGTACTTGAAAACTGATTATTTATTTATTTTAGTGGACATAAATGGGTGATTCTCACCAGAAGGCGCAAAAGTTATGTCCGTTTTTTTTTAAATTCACAATACGAAAATTATTTTTTTAACCATATTTTACAATAAAGGAGCTTTTTAATAGATTGTTGTTGATAATGGTTAAACGCTTAACGTTTTAATTTCTTTAAAAAAAATTTTTTAATTCTATTGTTCACAAAAATGAGACCAGCGTCACAGAGGTGAGATTTGCTAGAAACTTGAACAATAATTAAAATATATGAAAAAATATATTTGTCTACTATAAAACATTCAAAACTTGAAATACAACAACAAAAACTTAAAACCTAAGAATACAAAACCAACAAAACTCGACAAAACCAGGCTAAAGTTGAAATAGCAATTTGAAAAAAAAAATTGTAACTGTATCCTAATTAATATTTGAAAATAATGATAGATTTGTTGAAAATGAATATTGCTTTCTATTACTGTAGGTAAATTTTTAACTTTTGAAATATCACAGCTAAACGCTCGGACACGTAAACATAATTTATTTCCACCTTCTTAGTAAATGACATTTTAAAGGTTAATTTTGTTGTTTTTGTATCCAAGTAAACGATACATTATGGGAACAGTCGTGTAATATTTTACGGGCTTGTATAAAAGACCTGTAAAGTTTTACAGGCTTGTAGAAAAGCAATTTATGAAATGAAATGACAAATTTGACACATTAATTGAAATTTTAAATTTGAAAATCGTTATCCAAAGGTAAAAATAAAAGTTTGTACGTGTCACGCTTTGCAATTAATCTTCACTAGGCTCACTGGATTATGGGGTTTGCTCCTGCGTCGCTCACCCCACAAACTTCCAACTCGCCCGTAAAGATTCATTTACAAAGCTTGACACGTAAATAACTATTTTGGTCGTAGACACACTGTATACTGGTATATTATAATTTGTAAAATAATATAATTCACCTCTTGTGTCAACAGTTTTATGCTTTTTATTTAATTTAATATAATATCCTCAATTATACTCAATAAAAAAAAATCAGCAAAAAAACAGGGACACGTGTATCTTTTGATCAATTAACTTCAAAGTTTGCAATATATTTGAATTTTGACTTGATACAGCTAAACCAAGCACGGATTTGTAATCTACGACCAAAAATTAAGTTTACGTGTCCGAGCGTTTAGCTGTGATATTTTCACCTCCCTACAGTGTTATTTATTAATGGTTGTGGGAAAACACAAACGCATTTTTTTTTAATAAGAGAAACATCTTCCTTCCTAGGAAGCACAACTTTTTTTGATCCTGACATATTGGTTACATTCTTGGACCACTCCAACAAAATGTTGAGTTGTTGAAATTTTACAACTACAAAATCATTTTTTTTTCACATTCTGTAGAGACAGAATTTGAGCATCGTTTTCAAGTTCTTCAACTTTTGGTTACATTCTTGGACCACTTCAACAAAATGTTGAGTTGTTGAAATTTTTTAACTACGAAATCATTTTTTTTTTCACATTCTGTAGAGACAGAATTTGAGCATCGTTTTCAAGTTCTTCAACTTGATCTTGTTTTTCGGAATCTTCATCGCTGTACACATCAGCATACCTAATTTTCCTTTTAGCGGAAGAATGAGCTAAAATAGTAGAGTAAAAAATAATGTTGCTATTTCAAGAATAATGAAATGAATTTAAGGTTTAAGGTTTTAGTAAAAATAAAGGATACATTGTAAAGGATAACTTCCCAATGGATAGTGTTCACATACATCGGATGGTGGACAATTTAAACATGTTAGTTTTCGAAGATTTAGAAGTAATTTACTTCAAGTAAATAATTGTTAGAAAACGTAACTTCATGGCACTGAGGTATTCCTTTAAGTCACCAGGTCATTGGGAAAATTTTTTTCTACGGAATTAAGTTCTTCTGCATCTAACTTTAACCCATAAATAGAGACCCCTTTGCAGTGTTCTTGTAGATTCTTTAAAACACTTTTAAAATCTAACATATGCGTTTCAAACAGCCGCTAACCCCATCAGGGGCACCTTTTCCATGTCCCTTTTCACTGTAGTGCCACCTGATAGTTTTTGCAGATAAAAGTTGCTGTAGATACGTTCCTATTAAAAAAAAACATTTTTCTATTGCGATACTGCGTCGCCGGACCGTCGTTAAAAAAATGAACATTGTCTAAACTAACGATTTTTTCTTTAATGTACAATAATCGGTTTCAAGTGCGCACAGATAGCTATGGGATCATGGCGTAAATTTTCAGAAATCGTGCAGTAACATTTTCTTGTTGCCTTGTTTAAAATACACTACAACTGTATGTAGGGAAATCTGAGGTTTCGACCCTCCAAAATGTGCAGACTGAACTTTCTCTGATTATTTACAATTATAATTTTCAGAGAAGTCCATATGAATTAAGACGTCACGTTCTTTAAGGCCTTCTTTAATTTTTTGAATTGCGTTAAATTGATGACTCTTTTAACAGTTCTAAAACTTCACCTTTTGTACTTAATTTCTTTTCTTTGATTGTTTTTACACAGTCTTTTTCTATGCCTTTA